GTGGCAGCCCTGCGGTCAGGGTGATGAAGACAAATACTAACATGCACAAGGTAGTAGGTGGCTGTTTGCTTGTGTTAAAGTGGAATGACAAAGATATTTTCACAGCAGGTAATCTTGAAAGTATTTTGACTAACGCAAATACTATGGCAAGAATCCATGTGTAAGTGTGTGTGTGATCATGGGCATTTCAGTTTGTAATATACAATAAGTCCTCTATTTTTGTTTGTATTTTTTTTCACAGCACAAACTCTGGAAACACCAGTGACCTGTTCCCCATGTCGCCTCGCACCCTTGACTCTCTGATGCACAACGAAGCTGAAGCTAATCCAGGGCATTTGGGTGAGTCAGTAACACACATTCTCTACATAAAGACACACTTTAACACTAAAACCAAATAGCCCTTTGAAGATGTGCCTTGTGTTCAAAATTGCTGTCATTGTTACCTCAAATTGATCCTCACAAAGAGCGCGCTGGAGATCTTGATTTATAACTAGTATTAATAACTAGTATTTGTATTTCTTCCACAGATTCACTCACTTTGGACATGGATGTAGCATCACCAATGTGAAGAGATTTGTAAAGTTTCTTCAGTTTCTTTCTTTTTGTGTTGGGATTTGATGTTATGTTGTAATAGAGGATTTAATGATGACTTCTCATGGCCTCTGTACTCTCATCCAGCCTGTACAGTTTCTCTTTCTTGTTCCTGTTTAAATGATTTTTGAAAGATGTTCTTTTGAAAAGGCATAGCCACTTATTTAGCCTTTGACTCTACACCTGTACTTAGTGTGTGAATCTGTTGATTGATACTGACCTACTTACTGACCCTCCATTCAGTACTTCCCCAACTTCATATATGTCTTCAAGTACCTATTAGTATCAGGAATTGTATTTTTTGAGAACATTGTATTTTTTTGTGTTATTGACTCTTATGATGAATTAATAATTCATATGTTATTTTCTTTGAATAAGAAAGTGTAATGAGAATAATTGTTGTATAAGCTATATCGCTTTCGGAAAAGTATTTTTGACTATTTTATTTCCATGCACTGAATGGTCTTTTTCAGTGTGTTTTGTTGCATTTTTAATCCCTGCCAAATGTATTGTCACAGGTGTTCCAAAATACCTTGGTTGCATTTAAAATGGATTGTTTCGTGATGGTTTTTACACAAAATGGAATATTTCTTATATTTCTCACAGCCATTTGAAGCATTTTAAAATTGTACAGAGATGGAAAGACAAGGAGTTTCAGACACCTCTCGGTTTATTTTCCCATAAGCTTTCTTTCCCCTTATAATATTGTGAGAAATTACATGATATAACTTGTAGAAGCGGTGCTCTGAAAACAGTTTTGTGTCACTCCCACTTAAATACTGTAATTTGTGATCATGTGAATTGCACTTAGGTTTTGACTTAGTTTTGCCTGAATTCACATTACACATTACATCAGATATGTGATGTAAATCATTTGAAGAACAATTATTTTCGGGCAAACTTGTTATCAAAATAATCATGGATGTTTCAGAAAGATGTGTGTAGCAGGTGACTTTTAACCTTTCATACAGAGTAAACCATGCTAGTTGGGTTTAATGCAAGCCACACATTTGTCTGTCAAGCCAAGAAATGTCAAGAGGTTTTCTGTAAGATATGCTGTAACTATTCCTGATTTGACAGAAGGCAATAAAAATAAGTTGGCACTAAAAGCAGTCTAGTGATCTCTTGGTTTAATTATTGACTTGCAAGTATAAAATGTAAACATGTCGAATGTGCTCAAGACTCCCCAGAAAATTGAAATTGTTTAACAGTATCTGACCAAAACGAATCAGATTAGTTTTCACTTGAGATGGAAGCGATTCATGTCCACACTATATACAGCTTACCCTACCCTTTATGCTCCACAGTCGTGTGAATGACAAAGTAAGATTCAATGTGATAGAAGAACGTGAATCCAGCGAAGCACAAAAGTTTCCTTTTGATTTGTAACTAGGTTCAAAAAATGACTCGGCCTAATGTTTGTGCGAGAGGATGTAGAGCTTTGACAAGAATCCCATTTAGCTGACTCAGTTTCAGGGTCTTGGTATTGAACATGTTGGCTCACCATCTAGGACACTTGAATACAGCCATTCTTGATATTTTTCAAGTCAAATTGTCTGCTGTGAAAAGGCCTATTTAAAGGGCTTTTAGCATTCAACATGTTTCAGACTTATTACTCCTGTGATTGGCTGTTTATCATTTATGCATCATTTAGTAATTTGCGTATGCATCAATTGATGCGCAGTTAAAGCTGGTCCTGATGTTCCAGATATAAAGGAGAGAGAGATGAATAAAGAATATACAGTAACAGATCAAATGATGCTGGATGAGGACAGCTCTGTTTCTGATTCAGAATCTGGACACTGTGATGCTGCTAAACTGGATGAGAAGTGGCAAGCTGAAGTAGTCACACCCAGCTCGAAAAGATGAACAGACACCACAGTACTCCTCTGATCAAGCCAGAGGACGTCTAAAATGATTGGTAAAAAATAATGCAGGAAACATGTTTTATATCCACTGTAACACACACATAAAAAAAAACTGAGTTCATATGATGATATATGGGATGACATATTTTTCACATTTACATTGTGGAATTGATTCCATCTGACCCGCCCACTGCAAAAATGAAATATAAATTAATCAGAGATGTCCTACTTCTAACTATTGTGGGTAGAAACACCAATTCATTGCCACAGAAAAGCAACCTTTGTATTGATATTTTAACAAAATTAATAAATAAATTATCGAGAAAAAAAGTGTGTCAAATATGATGAAATCATAGGCAAGTGAGGCAGAATAACATTAATTATTTCTAACAAACTGCTGTTAGAGGTTGAGGACAGAAGTTAAATACACAGCAGCCTGTGGAAGTATTGTGTTGTAGTTTCTGGGATTTGAATACTGCACATAGATAAGAGATGACCTAAGAGATTACACTTTCTATTTTCTTGACACACTCACTGGACTTTCCTGCCTGGAAACCCCGTATTGAGTGTGTGCAGCTCCACTACATCCTCAGCTGTAATGTAGCACTGATGTGATCGGCAATAGCGTGACTGCTGGGATTCCCATGAGTTCATTTAGAGAATATGTGACAGCTGAAATGAAACAGCTAAACAAAGAGGAACAGTAAGGAAGCAGTTTCTGCATCACTGGTCTGCTTGCTCTGCTTGCTCACACTCTGTCTCGTGTGTGTGTGTGTGTGTGTGTGTGTGTGTGTGTGTGTGTGTGTGTGTTTTGTCTCGGTGATAGGAAATGAACACAGACTGGTTAGAGGAGATGAGGGGGTGAGGAGATGTACATCTATTACCGTCAGCAGCTGCTGATTCAGCTGTCTGAGGAAGCAACAGTCACCTTTCACCTCTAGCCTGTGGCCAATCGATCTAGAGAATTGATGAAACTGTGTGCGTGCGTGTGCGTATTTGTGTGTGTTTGTGTGTGTGTGTGTGTGTACTAAGATAAATGATGACTTTTTGACATGGGAGTGGGAAAATGAAGTCATTTATTTCTGCAGCATGACAGGGGACTTTTCAGATCACAGTCAGCAGCAACATTCAAAACAAACTCTGGACTTTTACCCTTTTGTTTCTTGTTGATTGTGACACAACTAACTTACTGTATAGCCACAGGTGAGAGAGGTAACAATGTGTCTGCCCATGTTGTGAATTATATGTTTTTTGTGTAAAATTGCTTGAACACAGTAACATGTAAGATGCCACCACTGGCACATAGGACACATAAGAGTATGTGGATTCTGTGGATTCCCTCTATGTGGTTCTTTGGGATAAATAAGGCAGCACAGATGCAGCAAAACAGAATAAACAGGCATCTTTTCCTCAACAATCAACAAGTGTTCACATGCTGGCTGTTGCCCTTTTATGTGGAGCCTATTTAGTTTTGTTTCAGGCAGCAATATGTGGCTCCCTATATGCTGGATGTGCCTCAGGCCCACATTGTCCTCTAATTAATTTAATTAATTTTGGCAGGTTTATCTTTGGTGCCTGCCACCTCATCCCTCTCTCTCTCCCTCTCTCTCTCTCTCTTTCTTCCCTTTTCATTCCACTGATAAAAGTGAGATAAAGGGGGAAAAAAATCATTAATTACAACTCTATTGTGTATTGTGTATTTCATAAAGGCACACAGTTATGAAAAAAATAACCCTTTCCTGAATCGATTATTCTTTTTGTTTTTCACCAGTAGGTGTCGCTGTTCTCCAGCACTCCAGGGCGACAGATAAGGAAGCGAGTTTTACACTGAGTTGAATGGAAGATTTACTGCACAGTAGAATAGATTAAGTCTAATCATCTAATCTAATAACTGTGTGCAGCAGTGAACAGCTTTGATCAGAGCAAGTCAGAGAAGAGTGAGTGTGAATTTAATGACCTGCAGCAACAAGGGAACAATTTAAGTGCGATCTCTAATTTATTTATTTTTATTTAATTAGTTATCATTCACAATTGTTATTATTATTGGCATTATTATTATTATTAGTTTTATTAGTATTATTGGTATTTATTAATTAATTAATTTATTTATTTATTGTAGCAGTGATAGTTATTTTTAGTGGTTTTGCTGAACGGTAATATAGTATTGCTCAAGTCCTTCAAATTCGAAACATTGCAGATACCATAGACCACAGCATAAAGACCATAAAATAAAATAAAAATTAAATAACATTGAATATATCATTCTCAACACACACACAAAGACGATCATGTTGTTGTGTCTTGTTGCTGCATGAAAGAAGGCTTTCGGTTCCTTAAGCCTGTGTTGAACATGAGTCCAAATCAATCATCCCCAGGAGAGAAATCAGTAGAAACTGTTACTCCTGACAGAGTGCAAGAACCGCCGGAAGTGGGCGGTTTGTCAGAGACAGAGAGAGAGAGAGAGAGAGAGAGAGAGAGAGAGACACACACACACACACACACACACACACACACACCCACAGAGAGAGAGAGATCGGTGAACTGTGAAGCGAACTGCTGGAAACTAGCCGACTGACTGACTGACTGATTGAGAGATCCCCGACGTAGGTTGCTATCGTCGCTGCAGCCTCTCCACGCATTTTATGAAAAAAGTCCAGCAGCTCCAGTCGCTCCACAGAGGTAAGTGTGACAGTTTAACGTCTTCTAACATGTTTCGCCTGTAGAAGGTGAAACGTCCTCGGCTCGTCCCGCTGACTGTCCCCGTTGCGAAAGAATATTCTCACAGCGCTTTGTAAACAAACTGCGAGTGGAGGAGGCAGCGTTCGGCAGACGCTGCTCACACAGACATGTTTGGATGCATATAATGTCACTTTCTGTCGGGTTTTGCGTGTGTGATACTTTTTCTTACTTCTCTTCTCTGTTCTCTTTATTATTATTATTATCATTATTAACGCCGCTGAATCAACAGGCAGGTCTCCCTGCGCAGACGAAGGAATCCCTTTGGTATTTCTGTAATAATCCTCACGAACTGACAGCGTTTCGGTGCCATTGAATTTACTGTCACCCGGTCGAAGGCTACTTGTTGGCGTTTTAATCTCCTGTGTGGTCTCTTCGTTCCATTACTGCTATAGAAACAACATGTATATATTTAACCAAGCTTTATGGCATGTGACTGTGACATTCTCACTGCTGTAATGGTGCCACAAGGACTCACTGTTATAACGGCATCTCTCTACAATGTGAAGTTTTGCTATAGGGTTAAACCTTCCTACCAGCCTCCATTTACTGGCGAACCTGTATGAGGCAATGATTCTCGGCTGAGGTGAAATAGGACCATAAAGATAACCTGCAACACACACACGCACACGCACAGTTTGCACAGGCTTTGGCTGTAGTGCAGCACTAAGCTTCAAAAGTTTGACAGGTGAAAGCCTGACCGAGAGACTGTCTTAGTCACACTCCTTTGGCACCATGCTCAGTACGTATAGCCTCTGACCTGCTGTAATTTAATGCAATTTGGAGCTGCTTCAATAACTGGGGAGTTCCATTTTGTGGGAATAGGTTTTCGCTTCACACTTACAGTAAGAAGTCTTGTACTTTGTCCTCCATGACATTTGTCTGACTGCTGACGTTACTTTGAAGATAAAGACATTACATGCAAAACACAAAATTGATGCAGTTTTCTAAATTAAACCCAGTTCATGAAGTAACAGCAGTTACACCAGCTACAACCTAAAATACTGCTTATATCAATAATTAAAAACTCTTTAGAATGAGCACTTTCACTTTTGGTATTTGAATTACAATTTACTGTTGATACTTCTTGAACTTCTGCTAGTACCAGTTTAGTTTTATTCAAGTAAAAGCTTTAGTGTAAGCTGTAAAAAAAAAGAAAGAAAGAAAAAGGCTGTAGTGATAACATGATATATTCAAATAAAACTAAAAACCACCTTAAAGTCACTCAGTTGTTGGCCCTATTACAGTATGGCAACTGTTACAACTCCACACCAGCACATGGTAAAAGCCTTTATACTGTATAAATACAACAGTTTTTTTTTACACTCTAAGAAAATGGCTAGAGAAGAAGCTCTGGACAATATGAGGCTTGTATGCTGCCATAACCATAACTGGTCTGTGTCAACTCTCTTCTCATAGCCATTGTCATGTTCTCCCAAAAGGTGAACCATAAATTTGAAAGGTGTTGAGTTTTAATACAACAGGAGTATCTTATAGCACTCCCTCTAATCATGCATTGCTATGAATCAGAGGACTCATTGTTTCTTTGCATTTGCCTGTTGACGTGTGGTATGAAAAAACATGAAAGGATGGTTCGTAAAGGTCAATACAAAGCTGACTGTCAAAATTGGAACGCGCGACTCCAGAATTGAGACCCTGGTGTTTGTGCTTGCTTACAAACAGAAGTAAAATGTCACAGACACTTTGAAGACTCTGTCATTTCCAAGAATATTGTGTGTGTGTGTGTGTGTGTGTGTGTGTGTGTGTGTGTGTGTGTGAGTATGCATTTGTCCCTGTGTATTTGTGAGTGTGCAGATGAGCTTACCTGCACTAACTGCACCCTCCAGATATGCATCCTTTGTCATTCTGTTATTGGCTGAATGCCTAGTTGCTCTGATAAGACTTTGGGTGTTTTCCTTTGGACTTACAGAAAGATTTCTTCTAGATGCCTGCCGTCAAGCTGAAATTGACTTTGTCCCCTGTTGCTCTTGGTAATTGAGAATTACATGTTGTGATAATAATGCCCTCTGCCCGCTGTGATAATGTCTCCCCTTGAGGCTGCTGTGTCAAAAGTTTGGATGAGGTCTATGACTACTCTAGGAGTCCTCTACTCTCAACGCAGCAATAGAAATGTTAGAGGGTGACACCTTCATGTTTGGCTTTTAGCAGTGCTGAAGTGAGTCAAAAATCGACAGCGATTTTGATAATTGATTCATCATTTTGTCATTTACGGTTGCTGCATTTCTCTGTTTTATTACTCCAGATTCTCCCTTATCACTTGTCTTTTATTGTCAGTAATCCCTGCATGTTTGCTCTCTCAATCTATAAAACATTTCAGAGAGAAAATAATGGCCTGTGACTTTCAGCATTTAACCCTGTTGGCAAGCACAGCGTTACCCTGCATGCTCCCTCTGTCATTGCTGTGCATGGTGCACGGGAAGGGAGGGTTTCCCCAGGTTTCTGTGAAAAGGAGGGTGTTTTGGACTGGCACGGGAACATGGCATGCTGGCCAGGCATGAATTGGCTGGCACATTGTGTCCCTGACAGAAAGACCCAGATGCAGCAGGAGCAGCAGCAGGGGAGACAGGGGAAACCAGTGTTTTATCCTACGAGCCCACTGTGCCATGTGCTCACAGCATGGCACTTGTCCTTAATCCTGTCTATGCTTCTCACTTTTTCACTCTCCACTGCCAGATGAGTGAAGGGTTCAGCGAGCCTGGAGATGCTGATGAGAAAATTTGAGTACAGTAAGTAGGGATGGGGTGGGGGGTTAGTGTTAGTTAGGAAGGACAATACAGGAGGCATGTTCTCAGCATTGACATCATGAGTAGCTGGAAGTGAGCCGATTAGAGCAGTGGTTTTTGATGTGGTTGAGCTATGAGTCAAAGGTGTGAGAATCATCTAAGCACTAATGACTATGCTTAGCACAGGGCTTCCTGTCAGTGTCAACAGAGGAGAAGAAGATGGATGGATGAACCAGTTACATGGAAGAAGAATTTCCGTTGCTTGTGATCCTGTTCTCTGATGATACTTTTTTGGTGCAAATGATCGGTCATGTGAAGAATCTCACATTCATAAAACAGCGAAAGGCAAACGGGGGTGGGGGTGGGGGTGTGTTGGTGGTGAGGAGAGATTCAGAGTGACAGAAAAAGGGAAACAAATTCGAAGGGAAGTGATCAGGAAGCATGTGGTGACATGCACCCTAACCTCCTCCCCCTTTCAGTTGGGCTAACGCTAATCCACTGGTCACGTGACCATGAGCTTTTAGCCTGGTCTAGGCCAGGAGTGCTCTGATCCATCTGTCAAATAGCGTTGCTGATTGTTGGCATCCACAGCGTGTACTCCTGTCCCATGATCACTGCCTGCTCCACACAAGACTCAAATTTGATTGCCATCAGCTAGTTACTTCTGCAGGATTTTTATCAGCAGCTTCATGGGATTTGCCCTCTCTGTGACAGCGTCTTTCCCATTATCCTTTATTCCACTTTCTCTTTGTCTGACTTCCATCGAATTTCTCCTCTCTTCAGCACTGTGAGTAAATGGGAGGGGGGCGTGGGTGGGTGGGTTTTTTTTTGGGGGGGGGAGGGGGACACCCTTGTGGACACTGAGAAGCATGATAAGGCCTTGGGTTATTATCTTAGTGACACAACAAGAATAGCCAGAACACTCGAAGGCAAGTTTGCGCTGAGCCATATGAAGGAAGTCACAAATCAAGAGAGAGAAAGTGTTCGCTTGAGATCCCATGAATGTCGCTACGGGTGCTTCCCTTTTCTCGTTGCTGTGATTTTAAATTGTGTAAGAAGACATTGGACAGAGGTCAGCCCAGAATAGACTTAGAATGGATATACGTGGTCCGGATTAATCATTTTCTCTTGTTTACACAATGCTCCTCTGCAAGCCTAAACACACAGGAGCAAAAATACTGTTGCAATTTACTGCTGTGGGACCATAGCACCAAGCCTGGCCCATAAGGCTCCGAATACCATAGTTTCTTTTCTGTCTAGGGGCTACTTTGCATTAATTAACAAAGATGCATGATTCCAAATACTGGCTAAGGTTCACTGGTATGAATAATCTGCAGATCACTATCTTGTTTATTAAAAAAATGATTAAAGGAACACACTTTGTTATTCACTTTACAGCAAATTATAATGCAACTCTTCAGCTTGAGCTCTCACCCTGTTGCTTGATCGAGGTTGTTTCGCTCTGTTAGGGACGCACACACACACACACACACACACACACACACACACACACACACACACACACACACACACACACACACACACACACACCCAGCTGAGGGTTGGTAGCTGGAAGGTTAGTGAAAGCCAAGCTTGTGAACAACTGGCAAGTTGCCTTTTCTTTTGAATCCCCAGAGTAGCTAGGGAATCTGAGTGAGAAAAGAGAAGCAGTTTTTCTTCCTCCAGCGTCAGTTTGCTCTTTCAGCAAGAATCTTAGCCCCAGAATTACTCCAAGTGTAGCTCAGTGACCGACGGCACACCAACTTCGGCTGTGCCTTAAAACTCAGGAATATGGCAATATGTAGTTGTGCATTGCAGAATCTCCCCAGGGTGCTGCTAAACAAGGATTTGAGTGCAATTGTTTCATTAAATGGAGAGTTCACTGCAGAATCTGTAGATTTTTTCTTCGGTGAGTTATCGATCTCTGACGTTTTTCATAGTTGTGTTTGAAAGTTACACTGCACAACCTCTTTTGTGTTTTATTCATGCCTTGGGCCCTGAGTCATGCTTGATCTCTCATGCATTAATTATGTGAACGAATGGCTTGTTCTAGGCCCTAAAGGAAATCGTATCATGTGAAGTCGAATCTTAAAATGTGGGAAACATGTTTTGTTTGTTTAAACACAGAACATGTGGGGGGCATATCAGTTGTGGTATGGTGATGCAGTGATTTCCAAAGAAGTCATCTGTTTGCTGAAA